CACCCCGCGCCACCCCACCCTGCCCCGCCCACGAGAAGCCGCCAGGCAAGTGTGGAATGTCTATTTGTTCATCGCTGTCCCATATGAATTACAAACAACGGAAAGCAAAACGCTATGAATTGAATTTGCTGTTGTTTCCAACGTTTAACGTTTCAATTTTTCGTAACTCAAATCATGTGCTCGGAATGAATAGTTGAACGGACTCGACATAATATAGGGGTGGAACCAGTTACCTTTTAGTAGCCACTACCAAACTAGTTACCATTACTGAACATACAACTTAGGTCTATTTTTTTCAAAGAGAAAAGGTTTATTGATGTATAAAGAAGATCTGATTTAGATTGGATTTCAGTGCATATCCAATTTAATGCACTGAATGAATTTTGGCTACAAATATTTTCATTGACAATTCGTCTTCCAGTATTCTCCACCAGCAGTTACACACGCTGTTCAGCACTAAGAACAAAGTGCGGTGAGCGCCGTATGTTAATTTTCCAGACCACTGTCGAAGGGGGTGATCAATCTTCATTCAGCCCAATCGATGCTTCTTAGCTGACACTGAACACAATAATTTCGACCCCGAAATGATATAATCTCCACTCTGGTAGTAACTCTTTGCTATGATTATATCGTAAATGCATAGTGTGCTATGTTCATGAACATGGAATGGAATAATATGTGTCATAATCCATTATGAATTCTATACATTTCTATGAATTTCTTCCAAAGTTCTACTGGAATTCTGATGTAAGCATACAAGAAAAGATCAAACCCAAAATACACAAGTGTGAAATCTACATAACTGAAAAAAGGAAATGCAACTAACACACAAAATGATCTTAATGTAAACAGGATGTCTAGAGCATGACAAATAAAGGAAGAAAGGCATTAGGAACAGATGAAATTCCGATTAGACACTTTTCGTGTGGTCATACATGAAATAAATCTTGCCCTTGATGTAAATCAATTATTCCCCTCTACAAGAAAAAAACAATTCAATAAGTTTTAATCCACTCAGTTCCCCCTGTGTGCACGTCTTTTGTCTAACAGTAACGTTTAAGTATGAAAAATAAAGTATTGAATTCAAGTATTTAAATATTTATTAAATGAATTAACAAATGTGATTGAAGCTAAGCGATTTGCAACCCTACTTACTACATTGTGTGTTAGGCAGAGAACAAAAGAAAAGAAAGATTATATCTGCTAATAATTGTACAACACACAGTAATACTGAAACTCAAAACCATATCTTACAAACTATCCGAACTACAAAGAAGGATGACATGCAACCTCAATCTGAAAACATTAGAATATGTTACAAAGTTGTGTCCAATGTATGAACCACTTAGAAATGATACGATAAAATATCAAAAGACGTATTGAAGCTCAATTATCAGAGCAAACTATAACCATTGTTTCATTTTCTTAAATTATGTTTCAAGATACGTTCGTTTGCTTTATCTGAACAATCTTCGGTTTGAAGTTAACTATTACAGATTCTGTTATAATATTTATTATTAAGGTGAAATCAGTAACTCCAACAGACTTTTCAAAATAAAATCGAGGTAAAAGGCAATGTTCTAATTGGCAAACTGTAATAGACATGGCCTGTACTCCGTATCAATCAATTAAATTAAATTAAAAATAAATAAATCTACAACCTATCCTCAGATGTTTCCAAAATAGCATAATTCTGGTAATTTATCACGATATGAAAAATTAAGGTATGATTTCTGTCTTAAAAATACTAACGTTATACTTTTAAATATTCACTCACAAAAACGTTTGGTTCTGACATATTATTCACAAATTCACTTGCAAATCATTTAATCAAATCTTTTTTAATAGAATATCATCTCCCAAACAAAAGAGGTTCAAGGATCAATATCATTAAATTATTGTACAATAATTTCATTTTATTAATTCGCTGAATTATCAAACTTTTTTATCTCTTTTCTTTCATATTTGTTTGCACATTTATTTCAACATTGCTAACGGTTCCCACGTAACTTTATCCACGCTTCTACGGTAGCATTTCCTCAGTTTTGCCAAGGAATTAAATTGTGACTAATCACATCACGTCTTGCCGAAAACCAATTCCATTTAGATCCTCGGTTAATTTCCTGCAACCCAACACTCCAGAATGCTCCCTCCGTCTGCTGCTCAACTACGAAAAGCGGTATCTCAAAGGCGAGGGGATGGCGATTCTTCTTCCCAATATGCTTCAGGCCAATTCGAGCTTTACTTAGATACTTTTACTCCGGCTTAGGTGACTCAGGGCATCAACTGATGTCACTGTATTTCCTACGACCGGGAGATCCGGGTTTGAAGCCCCACGATTCATACGAATACATACTTAACTAGGTTGATACATAGCTAGGTCGAATCTGCTGTCTGGAGAATTCTACCCGCCGACTGATTGATAGTTTACCGTGGTTTCTCCGATCAATACCAGGCGAATGTCGGAGCAGTGCTCTAACAAACGAGCCGCGGACTATGCCCGATCTTTCCTTCATTTTCCTTGTCCTATCCTCACCCTTTGATTAAAAATACAAGCACTCAACTACCACACCTGTCGGATTACCAGTCGGGAGGTTAGAGCTTGTCCCGGCTAGGTCGGTACTTGCTGGTGGGGGGTAATTGATTGGCGAAAACCCCGCGAGCTCGAAAACATTCCTTATTCTGATGAGTTTTTCACACAATTTTAGACGTTTACCATTAGTATAAGTTCATCAGTTGGATAGAATACTTGCTTCAGCTCCACTATACAAATGAAGAGCTTTTGGTTCTCCATTGGCAAAATATTGATTATATTGGTAAGCAAAAAAGTGACTTTTTTCTTTTTCTTTTGATGTGCGCCTGTAACTGAAACTATAACAAACTATAACATCTTGTCATAAAATTATACCAATGTTGTTTCCTTTGAACAATATATCCAGAAGATAATGACTACCATGTCTACGAAATTTAACCCAGGTGTTATAAGCTTACAGATATTTTCCAAGAAATGTTGCAGGAGATCTAATTGACCTTGAATTAATATTTTTTTATTTGAATGTGATTGAATGGTTGTAATTTTGGAGACAGGCTAGGAAAAAAATGTTTAAGAATAAGACATGATAATTAAACACTATAAAAAAATCTCTGGTTTATTATTTTTCATTTCACTTCTATAAAATTTCTTGTGACTTAGTAAATAGGTTGCCGTGTACTGCGAATTCAAATGGCTAAAAAGCCTACCATATGAGATATATTGTATATAACAAAAAGTCCCAGTAAATCCATACTAAAATGGTTTGGACCATAGTCATACTTTTATAGTTTATATAATAATTCGAAATGAAGAAGGAATATTCATGAATTATCAGAATGATTACCATAAAAGTGCATTCAAAGTCCTGTCCAACACAGAAACGTGATCAGGCGAACCTCGATTCAGCGAGGACACTTCTTTGAGAACGACGTCCTCCCATCTTGGTTTGGCGGGCTCCCAGGAGAACGATCCCTCCCAACAAGATCTGCTGGTGCGCGCACTGGCAGTGAAGCTTTGAGAACGCCCCGGCGGCCACGCCCCCGGTCGCTCTTCACCCCGCATCAGAGAGAACCGATGTCACCCGTCACACACAAAGAAAAAGGAAAAAGAATGTTTCAATGGCAAAGGAAACTCGGTCGGAAAAATATGATAAAAGGTAGGGAGTTCAGAAATTATTACTAGTTGAAATGATTTCTGGTTGTTCGTATAATATTGAACACGAGCAAAAAAATTGGAGGTGCTTGTTTTTGTATATAGACATTTTACATTGGAAAAGTGTCTATTAACTGTCAGCTTCCCAAACCGAGTCAAACGTTAGTATATTAAATGTTGGGATCTCATGGTGCAAACACCTAAAAATTGATTAATTGAAGGTCGCAATTAAATAAGTTACAGAGATTAAGTAATTGTTGCTACATTAAATCAGATTACGTGGTTTTAATATGTATTGCAAATTTATAAACGTATTGCTGTTGAAGGTTGATAAATGTATGCGAACGAACACGTTTATCGCCAAATGAGAAAGGTTCATATTGTCGGAACAACGTCGTGACTGAAGTTTATGTGCACCCATCAGATTGATCGTAAACTGCAATCTACGTACTGGAGGAAGAGCATCTTCGAAATGAAATATTGGGAAAAAGATTGAAAATCTAGAAGTTCCGATGCTCTTCCTCTCGTTCTAAATTATTGGAGATTTTTATTTACAGAAATTATAAAATCGTGTGGTTAAAAACTTTTAAATTAAAGTCAAGTATCTCACAAATGACTGATTTCAAATTACAGAAATAGATTCTTGGCGAGAAAATAACATTGTTTGTTTTTTGGCGCAAAAGTAAACTACAAATACCGGGAAATATAAACAGAATTATTTACTTAGCAGAGAGTTTAATGTTGACCCTCAGGCCTTTGATGTTGCGTTAATCAATGTTATATTAATTTGAAAAATAGTAGTAAGTGCCACACAACATTTCGACAAAAGTTTTATAGTAATTTGCTGTTCGCGTTAATTTTAGTGAGGTGCACTTCCCGTATGTTTGTTAATGACGAGTGCCCATGTGAATTCGCGAGTGCATGTGTACATGCACGTCCCTGCAATGCCAACATGGAATTGGTAATATTGCTGTTATTCATTCCAACGAAATACTTGTAAACGATTTCCTATAAATTACTTTCAGCGCATCGGAAACTGAACACGAACTTTAAATATGTTTCATAACATTTTCATTTCTCGCGGACCTAGTGCCATCGTGGAACGAATATCGGACAAACGAGCAGACGTTGGCTGTATTGCATGCTGCCTAACGTAATTTTCATTTCATTTCATAATTGCCAACCTCACAAAACTAATCCGTAGCCGCTTCTTCGATTCGAGCGTGCATCGTAGAAATGGAAGCCTCCGGGACTTTAAAATATCATTTCCTTTTGTAGAGCGCCGGCCGGGAGCGTTCAGCGAAAAGGAAAGCAAATAGCGGGAGAGGACTGTAAATGGAAGGAACGGTTATGAAAATGTATGTGAGCACCATATTTATGAATTTCCCCGGGAGAACGCGGCCGCGGCCGCGGGGCGGAGAGCGCGCGAGGCGGAGAAAGAGGCAAACTGCGAGGGGAATCCCCCCGGAGTGCTCAGCGACAGGAAGCGCCTCGGGCCCGAGGCGAAGCGCGCAGGGTTGCAGGAACTGGGTCTATTTCGGCGCTTTTGTTTCGACCGGTGGCTGCGGAATGGTGATTGGTCCGCCGTCCGGCGCTCCGTCGGTTCTGCTCTCTGTCGAATGAAAAAGGGAACAGCGAAGTGTCTGCGGCGAAAGCGTTCGAAAGCTTTAAAGTTACTTTGGGGGTATGATGTAAGATGTGAGACATCGTTGTCTTAAGATAACAGACTAAGGGGAGCTCTCTGTAGATGAAATGTAGAAAGTGATATTCATATTTTGTGGCAAGCATAACTAATGTAAGTATCTTTGTAATTATTAAATAATGTGAAAAACGGTCAACGCAGAAATTAAAAATGATTTTTTTATATCAAGTCCATACAATTAATTCTTCCTCTGATTTCCTTAAAATCTCATTATTTTTATCTCCTAATTTTTAAGAGATTAAAACGTCTCAAGCTCAGTCTAACTTGTGTTCACGTCTACTTCTGCAATTGCTCTCTTAATTGTTTTGTATGCGCATCTAGCGTTGCATGCGAATCTAGCATTCAAAGGTGACTGTTTTATGTGTTTATGTGAATAAGGTATTAAGTTTAATAAGAATAAGTTGTGGGTCACATTTATTTAAAAATCGGTATTGACACACTTGTGCACGAACGTAAAAGTGTGAAGTCGAACATAACGTTCATTTATTCTCTGGCATTACACATTAATTTTTAAAAATACGATCATTTGAATCTAATTTGAAATCAATCTGCAGCGTGATTTACTTGGTAATTCAATTGTTCATTTGATGATGGGATCATCGATGTTGCCAATGTCATGAAAGAAAAGTATGGAATATTGTGCGAGAAATACGTTTGGGTACTGGCATTTAATCAATGCCACCTACATATAGCTACTTTGGAGGCGTTGGTTGGCATTATCACTAAGATTGCAGCGCCTAAACACGCAAAAACACGTTTGAAACGTTCTTTGAATCTTGTAGCCGGAACCGAAAACAAATTATCAGTTCCCTATCAGGAGATCGATATGCGTCGAATAACACTTCTTACGTCTCGATTATTGCACAGGAAGTGGTGTAGCCTCGAGTGACGGAATTGCACACGTACGCACTTCTGCACATCTGCACACTCCAGAGTTTTACTGAATTACTGTATACTGATGTGATGGCAATTATATTTTCGTCGATTAAACTGTTCTAATGAATAATTACTTAATCTGAAAAAGTTATAAGTATGTGGTATATTGTGTATCGGTCGAAAAGGGTGAATACACACATATAAATTATATTATTCGATATCTACTAATTGAAATGTGGGCATTGATGACGTAGAAGTATTAGATTATAAAATGAATATAAAAAAATAGGTGGCATTAATTAACTGCAACACATTAGAAAAATCTATTTATCATATTCAATAAATACATTCAACTGATTTATACAATAAATCGTGTATGGCGAGGAAGAACACTGTATTTTGACTAGCTTCAGAGTCCAGAGCGATAACAAAGATACCAAGATATCTCATCAGGAATGTCAATACAAAGTTCACCGGTGAGCCCCTAGAAAATGAAACGATAACTGTACGCATCATTATGAAGCTCCAATCCAACACCTTAAAAAACGGAGCAGTGATGTCAAGCTCAAAATGCCAAGGATGCCTATTCCTAACAATGAAAAATCTATTGTATCCAAGCCCTTGAAAGGCCACATGGCCGAACAAGAAGAAAATAAATGAAAAAAAAAATTATGAAGCATTAAAATTATATAACACAAAATAAATTATGTTTACTCTGGATGTATGTTTTTAACACATTAAAAGATATTTACACAGACATCTGCTTAATAACAGTTAATCTTCGAGCGATCACGCGAGCGGTATAAATGGCGCCTTTGAAAGGAAAACCGCGCGGCGCCTTGATGTTTCAACTCAGTGTAGCGGGAAGCCAAGTATTATCTAATTATCTCTTGAGATACAAAATAGCGGTAACATCGTCTCCCAGACCCATCCCAATTTGCGTCAAATTCGCGCAAAAGTGACTAACATTATTAGTATTTGCTGTAGGCGGCATAAACATCGCCACGAGATTGCGCCTGTTCCAGGTTTTCTCACGATAATGAGGAATGTGTAACAATATTTTTCGTGTATTTTTGCAATAAAAATGTCAAAATAATCATCTTATGTTAATTATCGTCTAAATTAAATGAATTGTTTCTTCATTACGTGCAATTTGTATGTGATTTCAGTGGATTTTTGTATTCTAGATCCCTAATATTTTCTATTTTCGTTTCATTTTAGTTTTTTAGTTTCCTACACATTCTCTCTCCCCATCTTTACAACTTTCATCTTACTTATTAGATTTTCATTTTTCATTAGACTTTTATTAAGTCATTATATTGTATTTGTCATCAGTGTTTCGTGAAGCCAAAGTAAAAAACTGATTTTGCAGATTATCTCCTTCTGAAATTTCTTTTCTGCAGAATACCTACAATTGTTTCTATAATTTTTTTCATCTACAAGAATGGCCAGTTGATGTTATTTAATAAATTACCCATGACTGAGGACCAAGAGAAGCTGTAATATTGAGAAAAGAAAAGGATGTTCGTGGGCAGCAAAAACACCGTCGCGCTCGCTCATGAGACACTAAATTGCGCGAGCGCCCGAAGGTTAATTGCTTTTTTAGAAAGAGATGTTATATCACATGAATCTGTACCAAAGTGCAAATTACGGTATGCTGCACTTTGAAAATATTGAAAAAAATATGAGAAAATTTTTTGATATAAGGAATCCTTCTTGTATTACCTTTCTCAGGTATGAATAACATTTTCCATATTAATATCTTTGACTGCCAAATGAATAATTAGGAGAAGAAGTACAAAATACAATTTGAATAGAAAGAGAAGGTGTTAATGATAATTAATTTTTAGTGAGTGATGCTAACAAAGGATAATCGATAGTTCAGTGGATACACGAGCAAGAATACATATTTTTAAGTCATTTTTTAATCTTTTCCTTCCTGGCATCGTTCGACTTTTTACCTCAGCAAAATTTTCCTCGCATGCTATGTGATTTAACCAAATTAAAAGTAAAACGGATGTTATAGCTTCTGTAGGTCATAGTGGCGTTATTAAAGCGGCACTGTTATTAATGTTTGTGTGCAGAAGGTTGATACATAGTTTAAGAACACTTAATTATAGTATTATGAATTACACAGACTATTCATCGCATATGAAACTCAAAACATTAATTAAAGTTACTTTTGGGACCGTTCGTCTATTTTTTAGCATCTATTAATTATGAACGGTGAATTCTTAATACCCTTTTTTACGTGTCACGACGTTTTTGAGCGATGTGTCTGCTTCGTCTGGTACAGCTTATCTTAATTTTTACAAACCTATTTCATGCTAAA